TGATTAACACCAAAAACCAAGGTGGATAGCTGGACTCTGAGGAGCCCCCCCTGATTTCAAAATGTATTGGAACTGAATTGAGAAACATCACTGGAAGCCAAAATGTGATTTTTGTTGTTGTTGTTGTTTATCTGCTGAAGAAAAAAAAAAAAAAAGCAAATAAAGGATGGAGCCATACTAAAAGAAAAGAAACGAGTCAGTCTTTCTTCGTTCCCTAGTCCCTGTAAAGACCAAGAAACTGGGCGCTACTTTTCAGGGATCACAGATCTGTTCTCTATCCATCGGTCTTCAGCAGCACTATTTCTTTACTCATTTCACGATTTCCAGTCAGAAAGTATATGGGTCTTGGTGGAGTGAAGTAGGAGTGAGTGAGGGGAAGGGAGAATCACTGACAAAGGCCATTGAGTCCTGGGAGATAAACATCCCAAAGGTAAAGATGCTACAGAATCCTAAAGAATATTATGGGCTTAGGGACCATGAGATGAAATTTCAGAATAAAAGCTTGGAGTAGTTTTACACAACGAAATCCTACTGTCTTTGTAAACAGTGCAATGAAGCAATGTGCCCTGGGCTTATTGGCAGTGAAGATAGAGAAAGGTTAAAAATAAAAGAAAGGCAAATATTTATAAAACAAATACAAAGAGAAAGCAGGGATGGGAATTTTAATTCCAGACAAAGCATAATACAAAGCCAAATCCTTTTAAAGGGGCAAAAGCGTTGGCAAGAGGTATGATCCCAATAAAGATAAAACAGTCACAAGTACTTCTACACCTAATTATGTAACACAAATTATAAAAACCCAGAACTGTTTGAAATATAAGGATAAGTTGAAAGAAGCACAATTGTTTGGGAGGTTATAATATATTCTCAATATTTTATAAGGCAGGTAGGTAGAAAAAAATCAATAAAAGGAAAGTATAAATGCTGAAAAGAAACGAGTGATCAGAAGTTTCAACCATTGCTATTAGCCTAGGCCCCGGAAAAGGAGATACTGTTCTTCAACTTCAGAAGATTCAACACTGGGGCATCCGATGGCTATACCATGAGGCAGGGTCAGAGAAGTTGCAACTAATATTTTCGTTGTGTTCATATGACTGAAAGAACAGAATCTTGTTGTAGGAGAAACACATGCCCATGAGAAATTCTTGTCTATTAGTAAATTCTGCTAGACTTGACCTTGTGAATTTCCAAAATAGATTATATAAGTCTTGATTATTGATTATTATGAGTCTTGAGTGAGCTAATCTACTCATTTAGGAAAATTAACCTATTAGTACATGGATTATATTTTGGAAACATTCAAAACCCCATTGTATTAATCAAAAAGATGATTTTTCACTTTCCAAAGCTATCAACACAACCCTGGGATGGTTGGGAATCTGCTTGACACTCCAACTCATGGAATACTGTGGAAAGTTATGCAAGGCCTTTCCCGAAGGTAGCTAGAGCAGGAAATAGTCAGTAAAAAATCCTATCCGGCACTGGTAGGATTTCCCAAGTGATGCAGTGGTAAACAATCCACCTGCCAATGCAGTAGACACAGGAGATGTGGGTTCGTTCCCCAGGTTGGGAAGATTCCCTGGAGGAGGAAATGATAACCTGTTCCCGTATTCTTGCCTGGAAAATTCCATGGAAAGAGGAGCCTGGCAGGCTACAGTCCATGGGGTCGCAAAGAGTCAGACACAACTGACCACATGCGGGCACGAGGAGACCAAAACCAGGAACACTAAACTTGGTTTTCAAGACTAAGGATCTGTTATCAAAAGACTAAGCCCAAAGGGTTGTAAACTGGGTCACTATTATGGCAAAATGGGAAACAAGATGAAGAGAAAAATCAAAGCCAAAGAGTCCAAAGTAAGGATCATGAATGTCACCGGGAAGCCAGGCTTAGGTTTACTGGAACCTCAGCTGAGATTCTGTGGGCCAGTCACACTGGTTTAAAGATGCAGTATTGTAAGGCAGAGCACAGAGGATTTTCAGGGCAGTGAAATTATTCTATGACACTGTAACAGATACATGTCATTAAATATTTGTTCAAACCTATAGAATATGCAAAACCAAGAATGAACCTAATGTAAACTGTGGACTCTGGGTGATGATTATGTGTCCTTGTAGGCTCATTGATTGTATATCTGATGAAGGTGTGACAGTGGGGGAGACTGTGAATGTGTATGTGGGGCGGGGGTGTTTATGGGAAATCTCTGTACTTTCCAGTCAGTTTTGCTATGAATCCAAAACTGCTCTAAGACATAGAGTCTATTTCAAAATATAAATAAAGGTGCATTGATGTAGGAAGACAGGCCATTGGTTATTAATGGTTAAATACAAAATGGATAACACATCTTCTACTGCCAGGCATCTGTCAGCTCTCCCTTGCCCATTTTAGTATTAATGGAATTCAGGTCATAAGGGGTAAGAAGGAGGTAGCCAGGAATCCCTCTTACTATGCCCAGAATTTGAGGCTTTCATATTATGGTCTATCTACATTTACAACTGTGATTGATACAAAGATGCTAAAAGACTTCCATCTTTTGAGAATATATAGGGGTTCAGATTTTAAATCTGTCCACAAAGAAAATACGTGGGATCTATTAGGTCCCCTATGTATCAAAATTTACTCTATAGCACTAATTTGCTGGCTGAGAAGGAAAAGTCAATTTGCATGGCTCCTGTCAGTCACATGTGGTTTGGAAATGCTTATGCATTCCAGATACATTCTGTGTAAACTGGAGAATCATATCCTATTTCTACTGGTTTGCACGCATGCATATAAGAAAACTTGTTTTACCACAGTGCCAAATGAAAATAAGCAAAGAATTAGCAGCAGTGATCATAATTAATCAACTTCTTTGTCAAAATTTCAAAGCTGGGATGGTGTAAGGGGAATTCTTGTCCCTCGGGCCTAGAGAGGTTGTGACTTCTTTTCTGGTTTGCTTGTTCAGTTCTGTCCCATGGAGGATTTAGAGGTAAGGTCTGTAACTGTCATGTGATGTACAGTTTCTGACATCTCTGATATGTCAGGGCCTCTGCTAGGTATTGAGAGATACTGAGCAGAATGCCTACTGTAGGGAGTTCAGAGTGGGATAAAACAAGAAAATAAATAAGCTATCACCCAAAGAGATAGTTGCTTTTGTAGAGTGTGGGTTGCATGCAATGTCCTATGGAAATAAGGAGGGAGCTTGCCAAAACTTCATAGAAGGAGGTGAATCCTGATGGTCAAGTGTGAGTTGAAGTGAAGAAGTACTGGACAGCATTCAAGAAAGTAGGAACATTATGTGCAAAGACATGGAGCTCATCAAGAACATGTGTTTCAGGGACCTGAAAGAAATTCTGTATGGCTTGAGGCCAGAGGTAGAGTCAGTAGAGAAAATAATTGGAAAACACATGAGAGAGAGACAATCACTCTAGTAAACAATGTTATTTTAACAGTCTACATTCTTGCATTCATATTTGAAGATGTTTGCTCACTCAGGAGACTTAAAAGTCACAGATGAACTAGCTAATGTTGCAATGTCCATTACAGAGACCCTATTCCTTCCTAGCACTTACAACAATGTCTGGCACATAGTTAATACTCAATTAACATAAACTACTATCACTGCATGTGGTAAATGACCCCTAATAATTTGTGCCCTGATGCTCGTCCTTCCTCTTGAGTATGGACAGGACTAATTGACTCATTTCTAATGAATAGAATATGCCAGAAGTAATGGGTTGTCAATTCCAACATTATGTTATCAAAAGACTGGCTTCCCTTTGGGGCAGATTCTCATGTACTCACCCTTTCTGGCTCTCTTTATTTTTTGGGATTATTAGCCGTCATGTCATAAAGACATTCAGGCAGCTTATGGAGATGGTTGTGTGGCAAGGAAGTGAGCCATGCTTATGTGAGTGTGCCCACAGCCAGCACCTATGTGAATGAATTTGGCCACAGATCTCCCGAGGCTTGCCAATAGCCACATGAGTGAGTTAGGAAGTGAATTCTGCAAGGCTCCACTTGAGCCTGAGGTTACTGCAGCCTTGGCCAAGAGCTAATGGCAACCTCCTAAGGGATGCTAAGCCAGAGGCACCTAGCTGAGTTGCATCCAAATTTCTTACCAACAGAAACTGTGATAATCCACTAAATGTTGGTATTAATATAATTTGCTACAGAGCAAAAGATAAGTAAAATACTATATTAGTACTGTCTACCTCCTAATCAAGATTGGGTTTCTGGGATACCTAGGTTGGGCATGGTGGTATCGGAGCCCCTCCTTAATGATGGAGCACTGCCTGCAACCCCAGCTTTTGTGACTAAGATCCCGATTGCCTGACACTTAACTCCTTGAGGAAACAAACTCTGTTACCTGTAGTTCTACTCAACTGTTTAGATCTTTCAGAGAATGAATTCAGCACAAGACACAGATTACTGTGTCTGACTTGCTCCTTTCCTCATCAGGGCCAACCTTGGGCACACCAACATTCCTTACTAGCTGTAGTGAGAGTCCAGGAAACACTATCTAGATGGTGACAGTCACAGATGTCTACAGAATGGCACACAGCTCATATAGTCCTGATTTCCATATGTAAGTCTAATTGATTATATAGCATGCCTTAGAGACTAATTGTTAAACTCACTATATACACTGTCCAGGTGGGAACAAGTGGAAAAATATACATCGCTTAGGGAACACTGAGTTTTTGGCAGGGAAATTTGGCAGTTTACATAGCAATGTTGATTTGGAGGCAGTGGTTTTATATGTACAAGAGATTTTAAGACCTAGTAAAGATGATAAATATTTACATAAAAATTATTCTCAGCTAAGGAAAGAAGAGCAAAATATAAAATGCAAGTGTGCCTTCTATGAATTGTTCTTTGCTTGCTTCTTATGTCTTTTTTAGTAGTTCTCAGACCCATTTTTAGTTAGTGAACAAACAGCCACTTTATATACGATAGTATGTATGAAAATGATAGCAGTTGTTGAAACAGAAAGGGAAAAGGAAGTAAGGGGACTTTATACCTTTGTCCCTGATGATTTTTCCCCTGGTGCTCTGGGATGATGCAGCTGTTGGGAGCTGACGGACTTATGTCAGAGGATGTCCTTAGAGCCACTGCCGAGATGCCCACCAACGGGGTTGAGAAATTCAGCAGCACTGATGTGGCATGGTGGAAGAGGACATTTGAGTGATGAGTTATGTTGATAACCAGTGGGTTATGCTGGCATGACAGTTCATAGGTTCCTGAAGAGAAACAAGGGGATTGCATGATATTTTAAGCCATTTGTGTAGCATCAAGTTTCCATACCTAGTGTTCATTTTTATCTTCTCAATAGCTGTATGATGTAACAAGGTCTCAAATAATATCAGAGACAGACATCGAGCTGAATCCTGGGCCTACGGGATTGTCCTCTGGTGGCCCTAAAGGGATAACTGTCAGACTCACCAAGAGAGTGGTTGTTTCCACTGACATCGGTCAGGTAAAGGGTCACTGTTGGCCGCTGACGTTCCCCAGGTACCAGGCCATCAGATGCCAAGAAAATGAAAATTGCTGTGGCCACTCCTGGTCTATTGAAACAAACCTAGGCACAAGCACATATATGTACGAGCCATTATTTCCAGTGGGCTCTTAAGGCACATGTCACACTACTTTTATCCCTCTCAAATAGCTCACCACTTAAAAGATAAGAACTCGCTTCTCCTTTACAAATGGGGAAAAGAAACATGGAGTAGGCACAGAAGGATAACCATGGTCTTATCAAAAGTAAAAATTAGCTGGAAAGTAGCTAACTTTCAGCTACTGAGAGTACCATTTTTTTCTGAGACTTTTTACTTCAACCAGTTCTTTTTTACTTGAATCTTTCTTTACACTTCTCTAAAAGATCACTCAAGGAGACCATTGCTGGAGACAGTAAACCACTGTATAGCCAGCCAATACCTCCCTATTTCCAATGTGAGAGACGTGGACAAGATGATCACCAAGCTAACGCTTTGTTCTCAACTGGCATAGCTAATTATCCTTCCCTATCTCCTTTATTGCTGTTGTTTAGTCACTAAGTCACGTCTGACTCTTTTGCAACCCCATGGACTGTTGCTCTCCAGTTCCTCTATCCATGGGATTTCCCAGGCAAGAATACTGGAGTCAGGAGCCATTTTCTTCTCCAAGGGAATCTTCCTGATCCGGGGATCGAACTTGTGTCTCCTGCCTTGGCAGGCAGATTCTCTACCACTGAGCCACCAGGGAAACCCTCCCTGTCTCCTTGTCTTCCCCTTAAAATTGTTATCAGAACCTCTCACTTAGCATTTCAACTATGATACATGAGAAAGGTTACTGCAGAGTCTGTTGCTTCAAAACTAGATGCTGCCAAACTGCAGCTTCTTATTCTTCTGGTGCCCCAAGCACAACATTTACCCTATCCATGCCTGGAAAATAAGCCAGTGCTGAAAATTCATAGGAAAATTCAGTTTTCTGTAAGAAATAGTCTAGATGGCTAGACTAATTAACAATGAAGCAGTCTTGTCCCTAAAAAATCCTTTAAAATAAAACATTTCATATATTGGGGAATGACCTGAAGAACTCATCTTCCATTATCTGATGTTGAAATTCTACTTTTGTCTTATTTCCTAGGGCTCAATATTACTCTTAACATTGTGATATTGAGAGTCATCTCCCATCTTCCCCGGTGTTGCATGGTTGCTGCTTTCTTAGAATCTAGGGCTGGAATGTACAACAGTCCATATGTACTTCTCTAGCTTTGTATCAGGCTCTGAAAGGGATGTGCTGTGTTATGCTTAGTCTCTCCCTTGTATCTGACTCTTTGCAACCCTATGGACTGTAGCCCACCAGGCTCCTCTGTCCATGAGGATTCTCCAGGCAAGAATATTGGAATGGGTTGCCATGCCCTCCTCCAGGGGATCTTCCTGACCCAAGGATCAAACCCAGGTGTCCCACATTGCAGGTGGATTATTTACTGTCTGAGCCATGAAGGCATCCCAAGAATAGTGGAGTGGGTAGCCTAGTCCTTCTCCAGGGGATCCTGTGGACCCAGGAATCAAACTAGGGTCTCCAGCATTGCAGGCAGATTCTTTACCAGCTGAAGTACCAGGGAAGCCTTCTGAAAGGGATAGAGCCCCCCCCAACACTGTCCTCAGTGTCAGAGCAGGGTACGACATCTAAAGGCAGAGGGCTTTTCTTAAAATGGGGAGCAGGAGAGTCAAACATGTTTTCTGTTTTAACGAGAATTTTTCCTTGTCCACAGACCTACTCTCCCTGAGCCTTGGTGGTATGTTTATAGAGTGTCCATTTGCACTGCTGGCTTAATTTGGGTGATTTTATGATTCTCAGTGGTTAATGTAGCACAACTCTCCCTTCTTGCTCTCCTCCTTTGAGGGAAAGACCAGCCACTGCTCTATTTTTTTTACAGTGTCATTCCCCGCCCTCTTTTCATCTTCCCTCTTTGAAGTAGTAAATATTTCTTTATAACTTAAAAAACTTCCAGACCCATAGGTTATGGCCTGCAATACGGGGTCCTTTGTTCCTGGCTAGATGAGGGCTAGACATGAAACACAGCATAAGTTAACCAGGAGCCTAACACAAAGCCCTCAACTCCAGCCCCCAGACGACATCAAAGTCCCCCGGGGAACGCCCACAACTTCTTCCTTTTCATACACCACAAAAGAGACCCAAGTACTGGAAGAAAGCTCTGGGTTGTTTCCTGAGCCAGGAACAAACGGAGCCCGAACAAGTACCTGGTGGCTTTACCCGAATAGGTCTCAGACTCGAAGAGTGGGGTGGCTTCAATGAGGAACAGGAGGGCTCAGTTTTCCCACTTTCTGTTGGGTCCCCAAATAGACACCACCCGCCTGAAACTAATTAGTAGGCCTTCTGCTGTGGATTTCTCTGTCTTGAGGGCCTGTGCCCAAAACCTCTGACTCATTTTGCCCTGCCTTACTCTAAGGGTCTTGGAATCCCAAATCACTTTGAACCTTAAAGCCTGCTCCTGTGGCAGTGGCAGTGTCTCTGTGCCTTGATTTGTGATTGGTGGGAAGTGGTTATGCCAGGATTTCCCGGCCGTGGCTTTAGTAGGAAAACCACAAGTGAGACACTGGCAGAGGAAAGTCTGATCACGGTACAGGATGCCGAGTCTTGGGCATTTCCTCTCACAGTGACACAAGACAGGTAGCCACACTTCATTCTCATCTGAATACCGAATATGCCCCCACAGGAGCAACTCAAATGCAAAGAAGTAGAGCTCTGTCATATAGCTATTAGAACCTCAAACCAGAGACCGGTTCAAGTCTGCACGATGAATGCCAACCACAGTAGAGGAATCTAGTAAATGCACCATCCCGAAGGGAGGGATGGCCAGGCAGAAGCCTGGGTTTAACTCTTAGCCCATCTTTATTGTTGTTGTTTAGTCGCTCAGTCATGTCCGACTCTTTTGGGACCCCACAGACTATACATAGCCTGCCAGGCGCCTTTGTCCATGGGATTTCCCAGGCAAGGACACTGGAGTGGATTGCAATTTCCTTCTTAGGGGGATCTTCCCAACCTAGGGATCGAACCCATGTCTCCTGCATTGGCAGGTGGATTCTTTACCACTCTGCCACCTGGAATAGTCCCAGCCCTATCTTTACTAGCTGGGTAAACTAACTTTGACAATCCATTTCTCCTCTCTGAGCCTAGGGTTCTTCTTTTCCACACCTGAGGAGCAGACATATTACCCATCTCACTCAGCTACTATGAGGATGAAATGAAATCATGTGAAAGCACAAAGATAATGCCTATGATCTAGTAAAGACTCAATGCTTGAGAATATTTATTTCCAAAAAGGAATATTTTTTAAAAATTCTGTTTACACTTCAGGAAGGACAGGATAAAGAAGAAACATTTAAATTAAACACACAACTATGTAGTTTGGTATATGGAGAATTATGCTTTTCTGAAATGTATAGGCTAAAGAATCTCACATATGCTGTTTTAAAATGGCACTTGTAGGTGTGAATTGGTACTTCAGGTTCTGCTTCCATAGAAACTGGCAATATTTGAGGCTCTTGGTATAGAATGCATCTCTACTTTATATATGGAATCTATGAAAAATACATTTTGAATACATAACTTTTAATAGACATAAAAAAATTCAGTTCAATATGTGTTTATTAAAAATCTACTTTTGCTGTACATATAAACAAAGACATTTCTAGAATTGACAGTATAATTAGAATACTAAAATGCATTCTTTATTTGAACAAACATGATATTTTTCAAGGCTGCTCTTTCTACAGCCAAGTCACATCTATTTTAATTCATATAACAGTCTAGGCTATTTTTACTTTATATGAAATAAACAATGAATTTTGTGTTCTTAAACAAAAGTAGGTAGTGTCTAGAGCAGAAAATCTGGCAACACGAAACTCTGCTTATTCTAACCTCACACCACCATTGTCACTACATAAGTAAGACACTCCTCTAATCACCACACCAAATGCACAATGCGAACAGTTGCCCCCTTCTAGACAAAATACACCAGAGGCAGCTAACTGGGGACTATGCAAATCTGAAATGAGTACCAGGCATGACCCCAAGAGAAAAGTCCAAGATGCTAAGAAGTCAAGGGAATTGTTAGCTTTATTTGTAATATTTTATTGCTTGTTTTAACAAGAAAATTGTATTTATGTATTACAGGGCCATATAAAATTAATTTGAACATGGCTTTTATGAAGAAGACAAACTATAGTTAGATATCAAAAGAAGGCAAGATCTTTTAGAAAAGCAATTGATTCTCAGAGAGGACTGAGGAATGGCCTAAAGATAGAATGATAGCCAGTAAAATTAGCTCGGTGAATCTCTAGCAAAATACTTTGAAACAGAGAGAGTATGAATTAGATAGATAATAGGCAGATAGATAGATAGAAACAAACTGACAGACACAAATGGAAAACCAGCCCATGCACTCAGTTGCTTTCCATCCAAAGTCTGCACATTAACTGCTGGATCTGACTTCTGGCCACTGCTACAGGGTAAGACTGAAAGAATGCTTCCCTGGTGTAGAACTTTTTTGGGCTCAAGAAATCCCTCTTCAGTCTGCGTGCTGGGTACAAACACACTTAATTGACTCCTAAACCAAGCATCTTGATGTTCAGGTCATCCTTTGCGGTGGTCCCTGGACAGCAAACCCTGAAACTATACCACAAACTTGAAAAGAATCTTCTCTGAGGTTTTAAAATGTTTTTGGTTAGTTACTGAGATGTTATTTTTTTCTGTGTGCCTTTCCATTTTCATTCATCTATGGCACTTCCTGATTTCAGAGAGAAAGGGAAGGCCCTTGAACAGGAGAAAGTGGGCACATATTACTTTTAGTCTGTAAGTACTTTACAGTTCCCCAACCATGCTTTACTGGAGCCTCCATTAAGCTCATTGGGTTTTTGTTCCTATTTGAAACATTATTTTATTTTATTTTTTGCTATAATATCCCTAGGATTCAAAGGTTATATTATAGAAGTGGAAGGTAGGATTCTGAGAGCTTAAGTGACTTTCTCCAACGTGAATGTTAGACAGTTAGGAATTTGGGTTTTCTGTATT